TTGTGTGATGTTCTTGATGTCATCCCACAACTCCTCTGGTCTTTGGTCCTTAGTGTCTAATGTATCAAATCTGTTCTTCTGATGATCTCTAAATACAGGTGAGATGTGTTCATGCTCATATTTTGGCTCTTCTGGACTTGTTTTAATTTTCTTCAGCTTCAGCCTGGACTTGCATATGAGCACCCAATAACAATGAATTCTTCATTGCAATTCCTTTTTTAAACAGCATAAAAGATGACTATATACATGGACCTGACCAGATGGAATACACATAAATCAAATTGACTACATCTGTGGAAGGAAATGGTGGAAAAGCTCCATATCATCAGTCAAAACAAGGCCAGTGACAGACTATGGAACAGATCATTAATTGCTCAAGAACAGATTTAATGCACTATGCACTAATTACCAAAAACCAGAAAAGTGTGCCATGACATCAAAAACATCATACAGGAAGAAAGTCAAAAGGTCATTAAGAAGACAAGAAAGAAGGCAAGACCAAGATGGATGTCAGTACAGACACTGAAACTCGCTGTCCAGTGTAGACATACTAAAATAAATTAAAGAAATGATGTGGTAAAACAGCTGAACAGAAAATTTCAAAGGGGAGCTTGAGAAGACACAGTCAAATATTATGATGAAATGTGCAAAGACCTGGAGTGGGAAAACCAAAAGGGAAGAACAGACACAGCATTTCTTAAGCTGAAAGAACTGAAGAAAAAAATTCAAGCTTCGACTTAAAATATTGAAGGATTCTTTGGACAAAATATTGAATGATGCAGAAAGTATCAAAAGAAGATGGAAAGAATACACTGTACCAAAAAGAAATTGTTGACGTTCAACCATTTCAAGATATAGCATATGATCAAGAGCCAATGGTAATGAAGAAAAAAGTTCAAGGTGCACTGATGGCATTGGCAAAGAACAAGTCTCCAGGAATTAACATTATACCAGTTGAAATCTTTCAACAAACTGATGGGTACCGGAGGTACTCAATCATCTATACCATGAAATTTGAGAGATAGCTACTTGGCCAACTGATTGGAAGAGATCTGTATATGTGCCCATTCCAAAAAGAGGTGACCCAACAGAATGTGGAAATCATCAGACAATATCATTGATGTCCCATGCAAGTAAAATTTTTCTAAAGATAATTTTTTAATGGCTGCAACAGTACATAGATCAGAATCTGCCAGAGGTTCAAGCCAGATTCGGATGAGGATTTAGAACAAGAGATATCATTGCTGACATCAGATTGGCTGAATGCAGAGAATATCAGACATGTTTACCTGTGCTTTATTGCTATGCAAAGGCTTTCGACTGTGTGGATCATGACAAGTTATGGACAACATTGTGCTGAATGAGTAATGCTTAATTTTGCTCATGAAGAACTTGTACATAGACCAAAATTAGTCATTCAAACAAAACAAGGGATACAGTTTGGAAAGGTTGTATTCTTTCACCTGACTTTGGAACGACTATTCTCTCATTTTATTCAATCTGTATGCTGAGCAAATAATATGAGAAGCTAGATTATATTAAGAAGAACATGGCATTAGAATTGTAGAAAGACTCATTAACAACCTATTATATGCAGATGATACCATCTTGCTTGCTGAAAGTGAAGAGGACTTAAAATACCTACTGATGAAGATCAAAGACCACAGCCTTTAGTATGGGTTTCACCTCCATGTAAAGAAATAAAAAATCTTCATCATTGGACCAACAAACAATAGCTATATAAATGGAGAAAAGATTGAAGACTTCATTTTGCTTGGATCAACCATCAACACTTATGGAAACAGCAGTCAAGAAATCAAATGATGTATTTCATTAGTCAAGTCCTCTTTTAAAGTGTTGAAGAGCAAAGACGTCAGTTTGAGGACTAAGATGCAACTGAACAAAAGACCATTTCAATATTCTCATATATATGTGAAAGTTGAACAATGAATAAGGAAGACCACAGAAGAATTTGTGCATTTGAGTTATGGTGCTGGAGAAGAATTTTTAAAGTATCAGGGACTGCCCAAAGAACAAACAAATCTGGAAGGAGTACAATCAGAATGCTGCTTGGAAGCCAAGATGGCCAAACTTCATCTCTCATAGTTAGGACATATTATTAGGAGGAACCAGTCCCGGAGAAGGACATCATACTTGGTAAAGTGGTGGGTCTGTGAAAAAGAGGGAGACCCCCAACTCGATGAATTGGCACAGTGGCAACAGCAATGGGCTCAGCATAGCATCAATTGTGAGTACGGCGCAGAACCAGGCGGTGCTTTGTTCTGTTGTACACGGGGTCGCTATGGGTCAGAACTGACTCAATGGCACCTAACAACAAGAAGAAGTTTAAATCACTGAAAGGAATTTAATAAATGAAATTGTAATCAGTATTTATATAAAACTGGTTTACTTATATATGAAGAATACAGCATAAAATAGTACACAGTGTTATAAATGTTTGTCTGAACTTTCCAAAGCCTCTCAGATAAGGGAGATTCTTACTGGCAATATGCAATTCATTTCTTGTATTGCCTTTTTTTTTTTTTAAGGTTTTTATTGTGAATTCAGTGATAGTTTACATGGGAGAACATCAGCTGTACATTCATACTATCAATTTTCGTTTCATTGCAACGATTACAATCCCCTCCATGCATCATCATTCAACAGCATTTGCTTCCATTCCTCTGTTTTTGTTTTTGGAAGTACAGTGAAGCACTCAGGAATATAAAACCATTCAAACAACCAAAGGGTACACCCCACAAGCCTATCCCCCAGCCGTCAACACAGAGCCCCTCTCCTTCCCTGAGTCCAGAGTCTCCAGCTGCTGCATTTCTCCACAACATCATCTCTACCTCCATCTCTGGCATCACTGTTTCACTGGATAGGGTACCACATTCCTCTCTTCTCCCTTGATGATCCCAGGGTCCTCTGCTCTTGGACTACAAGATCAACCACTCCCCTTCTTTTGTTACAAAATGTCTACCTTTACATTTGCAACACTCACAATCAGTCCTGATAGCAATTATTCACTATTGAACCACAAGAGTCTTATCCCCATTTCCTTTCACCAGTCCTGTCCAGACAGGTTGGAAACCACTCAGTGGAGATTCTACCTTCCCCTCACCATCTGAAACTAGGCTCTCTCTTGAAAGCTTGTAAGCCAGTCACTTTGTGTCTTTGTAGCCTGCCCCCACCCCATTTTGGGTAACCAATGTCTAAGTTGCCCATCCCTGTCAATTCTGTGTTGTATTGCCTTTTTGCAGTCATTAACAGATATCTGAAAAAGAAAATGCTTAAGTGTAGATGGACCTTCCTTTTTTTAAAAAAAAAACAAAACAAACTTATTTTGTGAATTGGGTGAAGGTTTAGAGAGCAGACCACCAGTTTTATATTCATCAAACCACACACTTTGTTTCATCTCAATGATTACAATTCCCTGCCCGTATCAACAGTTATCCCACTTTTTACCTGTGGTTCCTATTTCCATTAGATTCTTCTGCCCAACCATTTTGAACTTGGTCCTTAGGTAAATGTTGCCCTTTTGATTTTAATTTACTGACCATTTCATGGTTGGCATACCTGACTAGTGACGTTATCCCCATTACGTTACCTATCTACTGCTTGGCTGAAAATTGGGCCAGAAGGGTGAGTTCCTTTCCAGATCTGAAAGGTGACTGAGGGCCATTGCCTAAGAGTCCTCCAGTCTCTTTCTAATCAGTAAATCTGGTCTTTCTTTATATATATAATATCCCAGTTGCTGTTCATCAAGGTAGGATGTAGTACATTGTCTTTGGGGACTATGTTATGTGAATTGACTCTGGTGTCTCCTGAGACTATGAATTAATTGACATGGTTTTAAGACAATCCAATGCATCATAATCATGAACTTTTAGCCCAGAAAAATATTCTTTTCATAAAATCTGACCACAGATTTCATCTATCTTTTATCTAGGGCTTTAAGGAATGCTTCCATTTTTAAAAATAGAAACATCTCTTTATTGCATTATACCAAAAGACTACTTCGTAACTTCCTTAATTTTTTTAATTGCAGAAGATAGAATCTGAGAAATATCATTTTTCTTTTTTAATCCATGAAAAAGTATCCTTGTTTAAAAATATTACTATGAATACAAGAAGTGTGTTTCAATGATTCATGTTTATATTTTCATTTCATTTCTTCCTTTTTTGTTATCTATTTCTTAAGATCATATTGTTATTTTTAATTTTTTAAATTTTGAATGAATATTTACAGACAAGATAATCAGTTTTACATTCAATAAATCATACATTTTGTTTCATATCAATGATTATAATCCTCCCATACATCATTTCTTTTTATAATGAAGTAAATGCCAATTTTGGCTCTTCAAAGATAGCAACAAGTCTGGCAGTTTTTATTACATCCAGAGGAAGAATGGTATGGATATGGTAAAAATGTAAAAAGTGGAAGATCCCAGAGATGATAAGGCCCTGTAAATCCACTCCAGCTCCTCTCACAGTAAGCCTTACCTAGGAAGTTTAAGAGCCACAACCTTTAAATACTAGAGCAAGGAACAAGGGATAGTGTGAATTCTTGTTACATGAGATTTTTTGCTATCAAAGAAATGCATATAGGAGAGAACAGGCAATTGGTATTCTTTGCCTTGTATAAGACCCCAGAACTTTACTTACCTTTATTACTTTTAGCTGATGCTTTCTTGACAAAATAATCACAAATAACTCCTGCATCTTCACTGTGGCGACAGTTGTGTCTTCCAATATCTTGTTTAATGCAGTCAGCCAAGGACCTCTCATTTCCTGTGCACTTCACATTATCCACATGGATGGGCCCTTTGCCTTCCCCAAAATAAGCCATGGTTCTTGCTCTTGCAGGACCCCTGGAAACAAAATGTTCATACACCTGAATCAACATACAATTCAAATCACAGCATATACTTTCATTCTATTATATGGTTTAACATTTACATATTAAAATTAGCATCTATATGTAAGCTATATAATGGCTTTGCATGGTCCATTAAACACAGGTGAATATCTTTCTGTTTTTCTATGCTTTCAGCTAAGATCCATCTGAGGACAACATTGGTATCTCTCATTCCATGTCCTCTTCTGAATCTGGCTTGAATTTCTGGCAGTTGCTTATAATGGATTGCTGCAACAGTTTTTGAATAATCTTCATCAAAATTTTACTTACATGTACTAGTAATGATATTATTCAATAATTTCCACATTCTTTTGGATCATCTTTCTTTGGAATGGGCAAAAATATGGATCTCTTCCAGTCAGTTGTCCAGGTATTTGCTCAGTCATCTTTACATTAAGGCTCTACACTGTAGGGCCTTAATGTAAAGGGTTAATGTAAAGGGTTAATGTTAGTAAGTCTCTTCAGTTAAGTTCTTTTCTATGGTACCACCTTATTTCAATGTAAGTGGCACTAGTATCTGAGTTCAAGAAAATCTGAGAACCGCCACTGGGTGAGCACAGCAACAATCTCTCCCATGAACTTTTCCCCCCCACCCCAGGAACTTTTGAAGCCCCCTTGTATTTGGTAATGAAGTTATTAGTGAATGTATTTTATATTACAAAGGATTAGACAAGCATAAGAAAACCTCCCTGATGCAGACAAGTATGCAACCTCATCTATAAAATGGGCACAATAGTAAATTCTTGTTGTTTTAAGTTCTCATAGCAACCTTGTATAGGGTTTCCAAGGAATGGCTGTTAGGTTTGAACCACCAACCTTGCAGTTAGCTGTCCAGTGCTTATCCTATAGTGCCATACCTTATCCAATTATTGTGGAGATTAAATGAAATAATGCCTAGCACAAAATAAGAACTTAATAAACATTAGTTACATATGAGTTAGGAGTCCTGGTGTGGCATTGTAGGATAAGTACTGTAATGCTCAATGAAAAGTCGGTGTTTCAAACCCACCAGTTACTTCTTGGAAACCCTATACAGGGTCATTATGAGACCAACTCAATGGCACATTACAACAACACATAGGAACTATACACTGCATTTAAATAAACAAATTAAATGGGAAGGGGGAGGAGACTAAAAATGCAAACAATTCAGCAAACAAACTGGGCTAATACATAATCCTTTAAAATATCATCACTTGAAATTTTCTTTAGCAATGTTCAGGTTTTCATTTCCACCCTAGGAAGATATGGTATACATATGAACACAAGTAGATAGGTAATATCTATGATAAAAGACAATTCCTAGTAAAACATTTGAAAGAATGACCATCAGTAAAGCTTTAAAGTTATTTACCTACCAACCACTCAATGGCAGCAAAGCCTTACTTAATTTCTGCTCACGCTGGCAAAAGGACAAAGTAAATTTTTCATCCTGTCTAAAGAATATGCTGTAGCACATTCTCATAATGTGGTCTTCTGATTCCAATTGCTTATGTGTTGAGCAAAATACATGGAGTAGCTGTCAACGTCCCAGAATGTGTAAGTGCCTGCTTCCTCTTTGTCTACTGTTCTGCTGGTTGGGGAATGTCAAACAGATGGAAAGGTTCAGGGTTCAGTTTCAGAGCTTTTTCCTGTTCTGATAACTAATGGCTGTAGCATGTGTACTAAAATTATGAGAAGTTTTAAATCAAAAGAACTATCTCATTAAAATAATAACTTGTAACAGATTTCTGACATCAAAATAGGTTAGAGTTAATTAGGATAAAATCATTGTACTTTCCTGATACTTATCTAGGGAACTCAGGAAGAGTAGTGTATTGTAATGGATAATCTGAGAAATTCCCTTGAAGAGTGTCCCCTTACAGTCAGGAGACTTGGTTTCACATGCTGTAGTGTGTACCACAGTTACTTGATACATAAATCCAGTCAATTCTTCAGCATTGGTAAATGCTACTCTGATGGAACTACGTGTGTATGTGTGTGTGTTGGTGGTGGTGTTAGGTGTCGTCGAGTTAGTTCCAACTCAAAGCAACCCTATTCACAACAGAAAGGAACACTGCCTGTAGAAATGTTTACAACTTATTAGAAATGTTTACAACTTATCAGAAATGTTTACAGTCATAGATGATCCTTGTCCCCATATAGGTAACTCTAAAGATACTCATGAAATTTATTATATAAATCTAAAACTGATTTAATGAATGTATAACTTTAAAAAAAGTTCATTGTATCAAATATGTAAAAGTTCAAGAAGCACAAAAAGCTCCAATAATACCCTAGGATTTGGGTATTTTATTTCCTCCCTGTGCATACTTGTGGGGAAAATAATAGCCATGCTTTTTAATGGTTAAAAACAAAACAAAACAGCTCATTGAACAAATTTGTTGTTGTTGTTAGTCTCCATCAAGTTGGTACCAACTCATGGAAACCTAATGCACAGAAGAATGAATCACTGCCCGATATGGGGCCAACCTCACTACTGTTGCCACACTTGATTGAGCCCATTGATGCTGCCACTTGGCCAATCCATCTCATTGGGGGTCTTCCTCTTTTTCTCTGACCCTCCACCTTACCAAACATGATATCCTTCTCTAGCGACTGGTCCCTCTTAACAATATGTCTGAAGTATGAGAAATGAAGTTTGGCCATCTTGGCCTCCAAGAAGCACTCTGGCTGCACTTCTCCCAACACAGATCTGTTGGTTCTTTTGGCAGCCAATGGCACTTTCAATATTCTCCTCCAATACCATAACTTAAAAGCATCAATTCTTTTACATCTTCCTTATCACTGTCCAGCTTTCGCATGCATATGAGGTTATTGAAAATACCGGATTGGGTCAGGCGCACCTTAGTCCGCAAGCTGACATCTTTGCTCTTAAATACTTCAAAAAATTACAGATTAGTGGATCTCAAAAGTCAGATTGCTAAAACCTCACAGAAACAAGTCCATGATAGCCAAAGATGACCTTGAGAATATCTCACGTGAATTTAGAGACCATCTGAAGAACAGCTTTGATACATTAAACACTAAAGACCGAAGACTAGAGAGTTGTGGGATGACATCAAGCACATCATACAGGTAGAAAGCAAAAAGTCATTAAGAATACAAGAAAGAAGGAAAAGATCAAAATGTATGTCAGAATAAACACTGAAAGTTGCTCTCTAGCATAGAAATGCTAAAGCAATTGGAAGAAATGAGGAGGTATAAGAGCTGAACAGAAAATTTCAAAGACCAGCTCGAGAAGATAAAATCAAATATTACAATAAAATGTGCAAAGATCTGGAGTCAGAAAACAAAAAGGAAGAACACACTCAGCATTTCTCAAGCTGGGGGAACGGAAGGAAAAATTCAAGGTTTGACTTTCGTTATTGAAGGATTCTCTGGGAAAATTATTGAATGATGCAGAAAGCATCAAGAGAAGATGGAAGGAATACACAGAGTCACTGTACCAAAAGGAAATGGTTGATGTTCAACTGTTTCAAGAGGTACACTGATCAAGAGCCAATGATACTGAAGGAGGAAGTCCAAAGTGCATTGAAGGAATAGGCAAAGAACAAGGCACCAGGAATTGATGGAATAAAAATTAAAGTCTTTCAAAAAAGTGAGGTGGCAGAGGAGGCACTCACTCATCTCTGCCAAGAAATTTAGAAGACAACTATCTGGCCAACTGATTGGAAAAGATCCCTATTTGTGCCAATTCTAAAGAGAGGTGACCCAACAGATTACAGAAATCATTGGACAATATCTCTGATATCCCGTGCTAGTAAAATTTTACTAACAGTAATACAGAAACAACTACAAGCATACATTGACAGAGAACTTCCAGAGTTTCAAGCCAGATTCAGAAGAGGCCATGGAATGAGGGATATCACTGCTGATGTCCGATGGGTCTTGACTGAAAGCAGAGAATATCAGAAAGATGTTTACCTGTGCTTTATTGACTAAACACAGGCCTTCGATTGTGTTGATCACGACAAGCTATGGACAACATTGCGAAGTATGAGCATTCTGGATCACTTAATTGTGCTCATGAGGAATCTGTACATGGACAGTTGTTCGAACAGAACATGGAAACTCTGGATGGTTTAAAATTAAGAAAGGTGTGCGAAAAGGTTGTGTTCTTTCACCATACTTATTCAACCTATATGCTGAGCAAATAATCCTAGAAGCTGGGTTATATGACGAAAAATGTGGCAATCAGGATTGGAGGAAGACTCATTAACAACTTGCGATATGCAGATGATACAACCTTGCTTGCTGAAAG